TCCCCGACTGGAGTATCGGAGAATCGAACTGATTTTTGGGAATTTTTTCTCTGAGGGTTGGACTCTCAACATACTTTGAAAACGAGTCGATGCAAGGGAATTAGATTCACGAGTTTAAATATGAGCTATAAACGGACAGGTAATCGACAGACCAAGCATTTAAGTCACGTTTTTTTAATGAGGAACGAAAAATTGTAGCTTATAGGCGCTTTGTTTACGGGAGGTGGACCAAGGAATACGATTTTAAATGCACTACTTATTAATTATGGCCCTAGAAGGTTTGGCTAGAGTATAATGGGAAATTTACCCCAAGCAAAACATTTAATTCTGATTCGACATAAATTAGTGAGATAGGTCCATTGAAACTCCAAATAATCTACCTTGGAGGGTAGCAGTGAAGTGAAATCACTAACACTATTAATTTCACTAAATTTAAGGTGGATATGTTGATGGAACTAACGAGCTTTTGTTTCTGACTTTCATTTCTTTAGTTGGCACTTCGTCTAATGGAGAAGGAGCAACTCCAGAAAGAGGATCTAGTGGAACTGTTAGGCAAACGACCGTTCAAAGAGAAGGGGACTTACGAAGAGCTAGTTGGCTCAGGTATGGTACTTTTCTTTAATGTAAATTATTTTCACAAATGTCAAGCTTATAAGCATTACAGGAATGGTGGAGGTCTACTATGAGTGCTAGTCAATTTTATTTTCCATTCTTTAAGCTACCTTATCAGTGGATACTCTACTCTCGCCTAACAACATTATTTAACCGTTTTATTTTATTTACTTTTTATGATTCGCACATTTTCTATTTTTCTCGTTTTATCTATGCCACAGGGCCTCTCGACGAAGATACCGAGCTACCGATCGGACTGCGCGATTGGAATAAGGAGACCGAAGAGGAGCGTAATAAGCGAAAGGAAGCTGAGGCCAATGAGAAACCTGATAGCGATAAGATTTCTGAAACTAGCAATAACAAGGACTCCTCGAAAAAGAGTCCTGACGCTGATTCATCGAAATTGCCATTTGAACGCGAGGTGAAAAATTTATGGAAAGATATCGACAAGAAAGCGCCATAAATACCTTCGTTGGTCCTCGTTTACCTATTTCATTCTTCATGCCTTCCTATCAAATGTGTCTTTCTTCACAACCTCATGCCGGTAGATTTATCTTGCTCTTTTTTCCGTCA